CCCGTTAAATTTATTTTTTTCCATCTAAATAGTAATACAATGCCAAACATATATTAAAAAAATATCTAATTTTGCAAACTCCACAGGGGCCTTTTTTCTTTCTTTTTGCAGTCACACATGATGGTTATCAACTTACTCGCTCTTAAAGCGAATTCAATCAACAATTTGAGTTTCAAAAAATTTATTATCTTACAGTAAATTTGATCATTTGATTAGTTTTAGGCATTTGGATTGGCTTGAAATTAAGTATACATAATCTTTGTCTTTCTTGATTTTGTTATCAGTAACCTAGATATCACCCTTGATACCATAAATTGTTGCCTTTTTACAAATGTACTCTCTATCGGCCCTTTGTACAAATTTGATTCGGTAAGTGATCAACAACACAAATTGTTTGAAGTGCTCCAATATAATTCACTGGACTATCAGTTGATAACCATCATGTGTGACTTTTTTCATAAATTATTTTTGTCAATTTGACGACTGGACCTATGAAAAATAATTTATTTTCATGGTTATTAACCGCCCGAACCGAGATACGAATCAAAACTGACTTACGTGGTTATGGTATGGTAAAAAAATTGGTGGTTTGATGATGGTTTTGATCGAACCGACCCCGAATCGAACCGTTGCCAATCCTAAAAATCACTACCAACTTAATAATCACAGCTCAAGGAACGAAGTTCTCGGCATAATTGCTGAATTAATCACAAAAATCGAGAATGGGTGAAGATAGAGTTAGAGGAAGAAGAAGAAGATACGAGAAGTAGAAGAACTAAAAGAGAGAAGATAGAAACGATTTTACATCAACAACAGAGATCCATTTCTCCTCTGTTCTGTACACATGTAAGTTGAAAATACAAAATGAATGGAAATCGTATTCCCCTTATGAAAAACGCAATAAGCAAAAGACATTTTTGTGGACCCCCACTTCTGAAAGCTAGTTACTGTTGATTCTTTGCCTTCTTTCCCCCCAATTCTTCCATTGTGTTGACACTACATCCTCATGACAAATGAGTATCAGGAAGACACGGAACAATGCAATTGAGTTGCTTGATGAAATGTCTGGTACAAGAAAGAGGTATTTCTAAACTTCTATTATCATTTTTCTAGCTTGAAATATGCAGATTACTTTAGAACCAATATGTAGTCTTATACTAAAATAATTCGCATTTGGCTATATTGTCCGAGAAATTTCAATAGAGTGAATACCTTGGGAAGTTTCACGGGTTTCTCTGCCAGAGTTATATATCCTATCTCTGTTTGATTTCCAGTAGGGACAAACATTGCGTTCTTAATTTTAAAAAGACGGGTGATAATGGTCTGGATGATTGTATAACTATGTACTTAACATGTGGTAGTTGTTAGGAGTTTTCTTTGCTTTCATGCTCTTGCTCCCTATCCGAGGTACCTTTATTATATCAAAATTTGTAAGGAGACGATAGAAGTAGAGTGCCTATAAAGACTACAAATTTCAAACTGTACATTCTTTAGGACTAAAAGTTTCTTAATTGTTGTTAATTTGCTCTGTGAATGGGTCAGTGCCATTATTAAAATTGAATTTTACAGATACTAAGATCTTATAAGATGGGCTGAGATTCCTTTCCAATTGAAAGCAAACGTTTGAAAGTATTAACAGGTTGCAGAAATATACATAGTTTTACCTGATCTCTCTTTAGCAGTTTCCCTCAAAATTTTAATGTAGATTGTAGCTTATCTTCTCAGTCATCGTCAACATAGATTGTCTCTTGCTTGAATAAACCGCCAAACACCTTCCTCACTTCTGTCTTAGACTCTGGTTCTTTTGCTTTTGGCTTTGGAACTTCCTTTTCTTTTAAGAAAGAAGGTTTTGGCTTTGGTGCTGGGTTTTTTACTACCGCCTTCTGGGAAGGCAGAGACCGAGCCTTGGTCTGTCCCCTGATTGTGGCAATCTGCACTTTTGATTCCTCGGATGACTTTTCAACAGCTGATTTAAGCTGTGAGCTCAACTTCTCCCAAGAGATGCCAGAACTAATGCCTTTTGCTTTGTCCAAGAGGCTTTCAACTGATGCTCCTGCAGCTTCTGCCTTCTTTTGAGCGTCTTCAGCTAGATTGGCAGCCGTAGCTTCTTGTTTTTCCAGCTTTTTCACCTCTTCCCCAAGCTTCTTTGCTGCTTCTGCTGCTGCGCGAGCACGCTCGGATGCTTTAAGAGCTTCCTCCTCAGCTTGAGCTTTTGCAAGGGCTTCTGCATAAGCCTTTCGTCTTCCGTCCTCTGGAATGGCACTGTAAATCAAGATCAAATTACACATTGAGACATCATTCCCATCCGAAAGTCTGAATAGACCATATTTATGTGAATTAAGAATGTGATTACCCAAAATGTTCATCAATAGTCTTTGAGGGTGCTGATGGATCAGTGGAAACCTCTACAACCTGAATATTAAAAAGTGGTAGATCTTAACTAATTGTTTTTTTTCACTTATAAGAGAAGCTAAACAAAGAAAGCAAAGTTTCACCTACTTTAATGTGTAAAAAGTCTGTCATATATACAGACCAGAATAGTTTCCAAGATTAATTGAAGCATTGAAGCAATACAGATGATAGAAGAAGCTCCCCAAGCACAAGAAAGATCATGTGGAAACCGGCATTTCCTAATACCTTTTTCCCCTAAAATACACCTGCCTTTGATCATTGTAACACACAAGCAAGATTATCCTAGCCTTGATATATATTTTTGAGCTTTTAGAGTTGCTACTCATGTAAATTAGTGTCTTCATACTTGGGAGCTGCTAACTTTCATTTTGCTGCATCTTGTTATTTAGTGATATGTAGAAAAGTATCACATGAACAAATTTTATGCATTATGTATTCAGTTATCATTACCATAGAGCAATACCTTATTTTCTGTCACTGCTGTATTGGAGAAGACATCTGCCACTAGTGCTGCTATTCGTGACTTTGCAACCTGTTAATCGAGAAAAGTAGGGATTTGTAAGGAACGAGGAAAATACTGAAGAAGATAACAATTTGTCTAAAATGTCTTCTTTGCATCTACTAGAAAATCTTGAAGATATGCAGCTTTCACTGAAAACCAGTATAACAGTAACATACTCAAACTTCCAAAATGAAAATGAAATTGCATACATTACATTACTTTGTAGTCGTTCGCACCAGTACTTCTTTCAGCTGAAACTACAATGTTATAGGAACTCTCAGGTGAAAAATCTTCTGTTAGCTTGGTCTTCATGAGGGTATATGCAACATCAGTCTCGACTAGCTTTTGCAGAAATTCTGCCAATGTCAAGGGTTGAGATCTTGAGAAGAGATTATTGAAGAAAGAAGAGATCCCATCAAGCACATTGTAGTTGGAGGCAGTTAGTGATGATTCATCATAGACTATTGCCACATGACCAACATTTGCCAGTTGTGCAGCCTGAATTACTTGCAATGCATCTGCGGTGCTTACCTCTGCACCCGGACCATTCTCTGCTGGGCCTATGGTGACTACAACTTTGCTAGCATTTCCTATTGCTTTCGCAATTGATTCTGCATCTTGATATTTAGATTCTACAGCATTCAGGCGCTTCGATTCACTGTTAGATATTATCTGAAATGAAGGCACGCTAGTCACTAAGGGAATTACCACCTATGTGATGATATTTTAGTGCCAAATCGGTGTTCATTCCAGATTAAACTTTGTCTCCAATTATTACTTATGTAGAGAGCATTTTGACGTAATTACAGGTGTTGAGTGCCATTGTTCTATGTTTGTGCATATAAACTTTCTCGTGATTCAGAATGCTAAATATGTTTAAGAGCTAACCTTATATTTGGAGGCCAACAGGGCCAACTCTTGTGCAGCACCAAGGTCTGGAACACCAGCTCTCACACTAAACCCGTCCCGAAGAAGTGTTTGGGCAATGCGTATTCCAACTAGCCCCGTAGCACCAGCTACAAACACCGTTCCAGGGTCTTTACGCCTTTGGCTTCCCAAACTTAAGCCTGAAGATGGATTGATCCCTGCTGGAACCAAAGACTTCACATCAGGTAAATTCCCAAAGTTGAACCGAAAAGGATTTGAATTGCCCGAATTCCCTTCTTGGCTTTCTTCAGAGGTATCAGCAGTTTTTCCTAGCCGGAATGGCTGGAAGGATCCACCTTTCTTGGAGAACACCGTAAGCCTCCTTCGACTTTTGAACCCTGATCTCGAATGGGGAGTTGTAATTAGAAGAAATGAATTTGATGTAAGGGTTGGCGCCATGAATGGATAAGAGGAGAAAATATAGTGTCAGCAGGCTTTTGAATTTTCATTCATTATCCATTCATTTTGCTGATATGAATGTTGAATGAGAGGGGCAGAGGCCAATTTCTGTGCTGTTGGGTTCCATAGAAAGGTTCATTTTTTGTTGGATTTGGGATGTCGGATACATCCAATGAGAGCCAGCCACGTAATTCATTTTTATCTACTCTAGAATACTGCTAACCAGACATTTCTAAGTGGCAAAATCTGTATGCTAACAATACAATGTATGCCAAGAAAACAATCATGTGGGTTTTTTTTTTTTTTTTTTTGAATGGATATCAAAATTTCACTTAAAGAAAACTGTATAAAATAATTTTAATAAAATTTGACAATAATTTAAGTGCGAATCATACAAAACTAGATAACAATTAATTTAATCGTGTTTCGTGCAAATAATATTTGAATTAAATTAATATGGAGATCTATGAATCTTTTAGACAACGGAGTTTAAATAATACGCAGTGTGAGATGAGTTTATAATAAGAAAAAATTAGTAATTTTACTTATATAATTATCTTTTACAAGTAAATAAATTAATAACAAATATTTTTTTCTAATTAAAGAAAAATAATTTACAACACAAGAATTACTTTAAAAAAAGTTAACTTTTTCACTTAAAAATAAGTTTTAAAATATATTTGTAGGCAGAAAGTAAGTAAATAAATAAATTTACTCCAAAATAAATAATTCTTTTGCTAATCAAAGTGAAAAATAAATAAGATACTTATCTTGATACCCACGTAAGAGATAATTTAAAAAGGAAATTTTCTTACTAAAGTAAGAGAAAGGGAAATTGGTGTAAATCGGGCCCCATCATTGCTTTCACTGTGCAAAAATCTTTTGTATCGTTTTAGTTTTAACGTTTGTGTTTCGCGCGGGTTAGTCGCTAATAATTAAAAAGGATCAGACGATTGTGTAAGGGACAAAACCTCTTGAGACAAAGTCCCAAAAATGGGTGTTCTTTTATTGGCGATGAATTTTACAATTGGAAATAAAAAAATAACGTGCCTCCAAGGGGTGCAAGCACACGAGTTACTGAAAGAAAAGTGTTTAAATTTAAAAACTAAGGAAATGAAAATTACATGTTCTCTGTTCGAGAGTTTTGAATTCGGTCCCTTGCTTCTATGTCCTTCCTTCCTTTTATACTTCAAGAACGATCTCTTTGTGATCAACCGCCCTAAAAACTGCTTGATCGTCCTATAAGTGCCCACTTTTTTCGTAATGGCCAACTTGTCACGAAAACTGCCTCCTTTAACTGCTACCATTACTCTTCATCGTTCAACCGCTTTCGATTGAATTCCTTGAATCGTGGAACGTGATAGGGCTGTTCTAATAACTGTACTTCTTGATAAGCGCGACGCTTTATGTTTGTTAAGACCTTGGGCGACTTGAAGGTTTGGGCGAGAATAGAGTAACAATTCTGGGCGACTGTATGACACTCCATTCGCTCAGATTCTGGGCGNAGTTACTGAAAGAAAAGTGTTTAAATTTAAAAACTAAGGAAATGAAAATTACATGTTCTCTGTTCGAGAGTTTTGAATTCGGTTCCTTGCTTCTATGTCCTTCCTTCCTTTTATACTTCATGAACGATCTCTTTGTGATCAACCGCCCTAAAAACTGCTTGATCGTCCTATAAGTGCCCACTTTTTTCGTAATGGCCAACTTGTCACGAAAAATGCCTCCTTTAACTGCTACCATTACTCTTCATCGTTCAACCGCTTTCGATTGAATTCCTTGAATCGTGGAACGTGATAGGGCTGTTCTAATAACTGCACTTCTTGATAAGCGCGACGCTTTATGTTTGTTAAGACATTGGGCGACTTGAAGGTTTGGGCGAGAATAGAGTAACAATTCTGGGCGACTGTATGACACTCCATTCGCTCAGATTCTGGGCGACTTGCAATCTTGGGCAATGGCGTTACCGCGTTCTTGGGCCTCCTCATTTGCGCCTTCATCTTGATTTGTTCGATTGGGCTTCGTTCTTTGGGTTATCTGATTTGGGGATCTTCCAATTGGGCTTCACTCCTTGGGCTGTTCGATTTGGGCTGAATTTTTATGTGTCAACAATTACCCCCCAATATGGCAGAATTAATAATAATTATTAAATTTTGCCATATTCACTTTGTGTTTCCAGCAACATTCGAAATTCCCAAGAATTTCAATCATTGTTTCCTTCTATAACTTGAAAAAGGTGCGTCGTTTTGCAAATCCTTATAACCCCCCAAACACGCCATTTCACTGCACCACTAAATCACGCCTCAAATCTTTTCGCGTCTCTCTCAAGATTTACTGTTCACCTTTTGCTTCCCTGCTACGTAACCCTGCAAAACTTCGTTCCATCTCAAATGCCTGCTTCACAATCTCAAGTTGGCGACTCCTTTAGTTTCGATGACTTTCAGAAACTCCTGAGTCGTCCATATATAACTCCGAGTTTTCTCGCACCCGCCGACGTTGGACGTAATGAGTTCTACCTGGGTCCTTTCTTCAACAATGCAGAGGCAATTGAACAGGCGGCGGTGGGTCAGCTGTTTCCTTGCACTCATGGCCCTCCTTTTCTAAACTCTCTGTCGCTGGGGCCACTTCGCGAAAGAGGTATTCGCACTTGGCCTAAATCTGATGTAGCTTTTCGTAGGTGGCATGCTCGCCTTGTGGGTCATGGTCCTACTAAGGTACTTTTTGATAGCGCTAGGATTTCTGATTTGTTAGAAATCTCTATTCGCCCTCCTACTTTTGATTCTGCACTTTTTTCGATTGCTTTGAGCTTTTGGTCTTCCGAGTATAATACCTTTATTTTCCCTCTCGGCCCCATGTCTATTACTCTAAGGGATGTTGGGGCCCTGGTGAATCTACCACCTTTGGGCGATACCATTTTTCCAGGTATCTTAGTTTCTGGTGGCGCCCCAAAGTTTGGTAAAAACTACACTGATTCTTATTCAAGCCTGCAGACCCTCCATAATCATTCGAGTGCTGAGTCTTCCCATACTGAGCGAGTGGCCTTCCTTTTAGTTTGGCTTTGTAAATATGTTTTGTGCGTGCCAAGTATAAAGCCCTCCTTGAGTTATTTACCTATCGCACACGAATTGGCGCGTGACAGGCCTTTGAATTTGTGTTCTTTGTTTTTGGCTGCTCTTTATAGGGGCATGGCCTCTCTTCAAGCTCAATTGAAGAATAGTGCATCTCCCACTGGCAGTGGACCCCTTTGGTTCACTCAACTGTGGTTGAGATCCTATTTCCCATCGCTTGGCGCTCCTTCAATTTCTCGTTCTTCTGCCAGCTGCTATAGGCTAGCCATTGAGCCCTTAGCTCCTGTAAATATGTCCAGAAGGGACATTTTTTCGTTTTTTTATTCTTTGGATTCAATCTCTTTCTTTTTTCCTTTTCCTTCTTTTTTGACTCCGAACTATGTACATCCCCCTTCCTCTATAGACAGTGCGAGCACCTCCCTGCTTATTTGGATCCAGTTTTTAACCGGGAGGGAGCTTTTTCATGATATCTTAACTGGGACCAATGCCAAAGCGGGGGTAGAAATTTATGCTCCCCAATTTTTTGCTCGCCAGCTTGGTTTCGGCCAAACTTGGCCTGTTCCTCTTTGCTATTCGAGGAACTTAATTGACCGTTTTCATACCATTAATAAGGCGGAAGCAGAGGCTATAAATGCTCGCAACCTCCATTTATCAAGCCACTTTTCATTAGCCCCTTTTAATTCTTGTCATGCCACTCACCCTCTTTTTGAGTAGCTCTGGCCGTCAGTGAAGCGCAGATTATTTGCGACTGACGCCAATCGTGCCTTTCATTTATTAGACCAACCGAGTATTTCTTCCCCTCCTCCTGTTTTAGTCACTCCCTTGTCCATTCGGAGTCCTTCTCCTTCTCGTCGCACTAAACAGTCTGCTCGTCCATTTTCTTCTCTCCCTGCTAAGCCTACCACAGTCAAGAGTGCTCCAAGCCGCAAACGACCAGCCTCAGCATCTCCCATTCTGGAGGATGATGTTGATGATGATGATGATGCCCCTCTTATCGTCAGGAGGAAGGTAATTAAATTGATTTACTTACAAGTATACTTTTCCACATTTGAAACTTTTCTGTGTGCTGATGATCTTTTGGACTTCTCAGAAAAGCTCAGCCTCTCCTTCAAAGGTTTTGGTATCGACAACTCCTGTTCCATCATCCTCTGCTGAGGCTACTTCATCCAAACCGGTTGATGAAGGGACTACTCTTAAAGAGACATCTCCAGTCCCAGAGTCCTCATCACAACCCATGGATGAACCATCTTCTCACCAGGACATCAACCCTCCAAACATTGAAGCAGAAGGTAATTCAGTCTTTTGATGTCTTACCTTTACTTGTGCTGTTGGTTTCTAATTTGTTGCTCTTGAGTTCTGCAGATACTCCTATGAGTCTGCCCGTTGTGGCAACATCTCCTCGCTCAGACAAGGGGAAGTCCTCGCGAATGGAGGAGTCGTTGGTGGCAAGCTTGGCTGAGGGCATGCCATCTTCCACGATTGTTGATGAGGTAGTCTTTGCTTTACTTGTATTTCTATCTTGTTCGTTGTAGTGAGGACCTTTAACATTGGCAACCTTCTTCGCAGGATGCTGACAGGATTGTGCGTTTTATCCAAGACTTGTTCGCTTCCTGGGGGCAAATCAGACGTCTCGCCCTGCTCCATCTGATCGTCCTGCTGCTTCTTTAGAGGAAGATTTGAAGTTCCTCAAGGAGTCGGTATTTGAGTACGTATCCTTCATGGATATGGATATTAGAAGGGCTAGTGCTGCCAAACACAAGGATGAACTTGAGCACTTAAGTGCGAAGTTGGAGCAAGCACTGACACTTCCGTCGCTCAATCTTTCTGCCGATTTTAAAGCGACGTTGAAGGTTATTCACTCCGAGGTCCTTTCTATGCTGGCCAAGAATGCTGAACTAAAGGCCAAGCGTACTCAATATCTTCGAGCCGTAGCTGAGAAAGAGTCTTTGCGCATGGAGATTAACAAGGCTGAGGACGAGTTGAAAGAAATCTCTTCCGAAATCATGGTTGAAGACTCTTTGATGGTTAACTTGGCTGCTCAGA